GAGGCTGAGCCGCGGCCCCGGCGGACACCAAGAGGAGGGACTGTCCGAGAGCCCGGCCGAGCGCGGGAGCGGGCGGCCCTTTGCCTCCTGCTCCTGCCGGGCCGCCATCCCTCGGCGCGCCCTACCCGGAACCAGGCGAGCGCGTGGGGGCGGGGAGACGAGCGCGCAGAGCTGGCGGGGAGCCCCCAGACCCCCGGGGCCCCAGCCATGTCGGCGGAGGAGATGGTGCAGATCCGCCTGGAGGACCGCTGCTACCCGGTGAGCAAGAGGAAGCTCATCGAGCAGAGCGATTACTTCCGCGCCCTCTACCGCTCCGGCATGCGGGAGGCCCTGAGCCAGGAAGCTGGCGGCCCGGAGGTGCAGCAGCTGCGCGGCCTCAGCGCGCCGGGCCTGCGGCTGGTGCTGGACTTCATCAATGCCGGCGGGGCCCGCGAAGGCTGGCTCCTGGGCCCGCGGGGGGAGAAGGGCGGAGGGCTGGAGGAGGAAGAGGACATGGACGAGGTGAGCCTGCTGTCTGAGCTGGTGGAAGCAGCCTCCTTCCTGCAGGTCACGTCCCTACTGCAGCTGCTGCTGTCCCAAGTGCGGCTCAACAACTGCCTGGAAATGTACCGCCTGGCGCAGGTGTACGGGCTTCCAGATCTGCAGGAGGCCTGCCTGCGCTTCATGGTCGTCCACTTCCACGAGGTGTTGTGCAAGCCCCAGTTCCACCTCCTGGTGTCTCCTCCCCAAGCTCCGGGGGACATCAGCCTGAAGCAGAGGCTGAGGGAGGCCCGGATGACTGGGACTCCTGTCCTTGTGGCCCTGGGGGACTTCCTGGGAGGACCCCTGGCCCCTCATCCCTACCAGGGAGAGCCCCCGTCCATGCTCAGGTATGAGGAGATGACTGAGCGTTGGTTCCCGCTGGCCAATAACCTGCCTCCCGATCTGGTGAATGTCAGGGGTTATGGGTCAGCCATCCTGGACAACTACCTCTTCATAGTGGGCGGGTACAGAATCACTAGCCAGGAGATCTCCGCTGCACATTCCTACAACCCCAGCACCAACGAGTGGCTCCAGGTGGCCTCCATGAACCAGAAGAGGTAAGAGCCCCCAGCAGAGTCTGCTTCTTTCTCTTCGTTCACTTGTTTGTTCGTTCATTCCCCAGTGTTTACTGGGCCGTCACAGAAGGGTGCTTTGAGGTGGGAATGACATCTTCAGGAGTGTTGCTGGCCTTGACTCTGGCACAGTTCCAGTGAACTGAGAACTTGCAAGGAAGAAGAGGCTTCAGTGAGGTCAACTAGCTGAGTGATTTTCTCTCAGGTATTGTGTCTTTAGTTAAAACTGCTTTTTTTTTTGCTTCTCTCCTAGTGGAAAGGTGATATGGTTTCCCAGGATACTTTAAAAGAAAACTGCTCTTTCATTTTTCTTAACTTTTGTTTTTTAGCATCTGATCCTGATTATAATGACACACTGGACAGTGATTTAAAACACTGAATTTGGGAGATTTTTGTTATCCATGACTTTGAAGCCTTCCATACTGGGAAGACAATTTGGGACCAGAAGATCCTTTTTAGGGAGTTATAAACATGTACTATATAGGATTGCCTCTCTTAGTTTTCCTTTCTTTTACTTCTTCCTTCCTTTCTTCCCAGACAGCCATCATCATTGACCCAAAACTTGAGCCTGGCAGTGGTCAACTACAGAATTGGATCACAGTCCACTTAGTATCTGGTATCTGTAGGAGATTGATTCCAGAACTCCCTCAGATACCAAAATGTGTGGATACTTAGGTCCCTTACATTAAATGGCCACAGTACTCACATATAATCTGTGCACATTCTCCTGTATACTTTAAATCATTTCCCCAGTACTTATAATACCCAGCACAGTGTAAGTGCTGTGTAAATAGTTGTTATACCATATTGTTTAGGGAATAATGACAAGATAGTCTGTGCGTGTTCAGTAGAGATGAAGTACCCCCATACATTTTCCACCCACAGTTGGTTGAGTTGAGTTGATGCGAAACCTGCAGATATAGGGTGCCAAATGTATTTCCATCCAACGCAGCCATCTCCTTTCCCATTCTGCAGATACCTCCTACCAGTTCTTGGGAGACTTGAAGAAAAGACTCAAAAAGGAGAAACTTGGGGGTGGTGGTGGGAGGGGAGGTAGGGAGAGGAGCCAGGAAAGAAAGATAAAAATAAGAGCAAAGGACAACTAAAGGAAGGAAGGGATAGGAAATAAGATGGTAGGGCCCAAGATGCCTCAATCCATTATTCAGAAGTGGGAAGAAGAATCAATGTGATCCAGGAAAGAAATGAATACCTTTCTTCCAGGCTACCTGTTGTCATCTCAAGCACCACCCTCGTCCCTGCCTGACATGTAGAGCAAAGAATTGGGGAACTCATAGCCAGACAAAGAAAGTTTGAACAGTAATGGGACATCCATTATACATATATACTCCACTCGAGGATCCCCCTATGTCAGAGATTATTTGGGGGAGCACTGGCTTTATTTCTACCATAATATAAATTCATTTGGGAAAGTGTGCTTTTTTGGTTTTTTTTTTCCTGATGATAAACATACTGTGTGTTTATAGAAAACTGAAAAAATGAAGGAGCAGAGAGACTATTACTCCTACTCCTTCCTCCTAGAGGAAGTATCTCCAGCTTGGCACTTTTTAGTCTAGCCTCTTCTTAATGCATTGTTTACATCATTGAGATTTCATGTTTACAATTTGGTTTTAAAAATGTTATTTTAAAAGAGATTTTAAGAGCTTTATTTATTTTCAACATGGATTCTTACTATATTGCCCAGGCTGTCCTCAAATTTGAGAGCCTCCTGAGTAGCTGGGATTACAGTAAGGTGCCACCACACCCACCTTTATTTATTTATTTGTGTAGTAGTGGGGATTGAATGCAGGCCACTGAGCTATACATCCTACCTCAGTTTTAACAGCCTTAATTGAAGCAACAAAGGAATATTTGATAGCTATAGGTGATACTTGGTAGGGATGGAAGGCTCAAGTTCTCTATTACCTCTTTTATATGTCTCTAAGTATATCAAAAGTTATACTCAATAAGCCTTCCTTAGCACTGTAGCACTAACACTACACCTCAGACTTTTTTTTCTTGATAAATCCTTGGCAGTCTTTTTTTTTTTTTTTTTAATTTTTTTTTATTTTTAGAAATGCTCTTTCTGTCTACTTGGAGGAAAATATTAAGTAATGTACAAGGACATGCTTCTTAGGAAAAACTACAGATGAGTGATAGAAGGTGGAGGCAGGAAGATTGCAAGTTCAAGGCCAGCCTCAGCAACTAAGTGAGACCCTGATCAATTTAGTGAGACTTGGTCTCAAAAAATTAAAAGGACTGAGGATGTGGCCCAGTGGTAAAATGCCTGTAGGTTCAATCACCAGTACCAAAACCCCCAAAACTACAAATGACTGGGAAAAGTTTAGAATGAAAAAATATAAGTATCTGTAGATGTATATTAAATTTATGGACTATAAGTTTGTAAATATGTATTTACTTGTATATTGATAATTAACAATAGGGAGAACATATATGTATATTCCTGAATATGCCTGGGATATAAATAATCCTTTTGTTGAGTGTATCCATGCTGTATATGCTACCCACCCATTACTCACTTAGTAGTTAATGTATAACTATATAGTATATTTATCATCAGGATGAATATCACTTTATACGTATTTTTACTCTAAAATTATTTGTTTATGCTAATTATTTAATATTTCCACTTAATAGTGCACTATATCTGAGTTTTTTCTGTGTCAACAAATGAAGATTTACCACTGTCTTGTGTAGCATTCCAGCCTGTGGGTATACCTTAGTGTAATTAGCCTTTCCTTTATTCATAAACATTTAGGTCACTTCCATTTGCCATGATAAGCAATGCTGTATTGAACTTCTTAGTATTTATGTATCTTAGTAGATGCATGTGAGTTAATTCCATATGTCAAAATCTTGAAATCCCTGGGTAGGTGGGGCAAAGTAAAGTGCATGAACATTTTAAATTTTGGTAGCTCTTGACAAAATTACCTATCAAAAAATGTGCTAATGTCCTTTCCAATCAATATCATTTGAACATGACAGTTCCATAGACTCTTGCCAAGATGAGATATTATCATCTTTTCCTCCCATTCTAATAGACAAAAATACTGGTGTGATTTTCCCCGATTAGAAGACTTTCTTTTTCATATGTTTATTGGATATTTGTACTTCTTTTGTAAATAAATAATTATTGTTGTGTTTTAAAAATTGGCTTACCTTTTTCATATTTATTTTAGAAATTATATATACAGATTTTTCTTGTATATTAGGTAATATTGAGAATATTTCTCCATGCCTTTATTATTTGTTTTATATGATTCAAAAATGAAGTTCCAAAGTGGTGAAGTTTCAAGGAGGTGAAGTGAATGAATAGAATGATGGGTGAGAGTTTTGATGAGCCTGAGAACTACTGTCCCCAGAAAAGTGGGCTCTACTCTCAGCCACACCTGGTTATTTCCAAGTGGAAGTGAGGAAATGGTATTGCTAGATATCCAAATATCCCAGGTTTTATATGTTGGCAATTAGTTTTATTTTAAAAAAAAAGCAATCAACAACAAAAACCTTGTAGAGCAAATGAAATGCAGCCTAGCATTAACCTGTGACCCATCAGTCTTAGACTTCAGATTTGTAACGTCTTCTTACATGAAGAAACTTTAAGTTTTTTGAAGTTGGATTTGTTACGTGTCCTATTAGTTTTGTGTTTTGCAAAGGAAAGTTTTCTACAGCTAAAATATACAAATACTGATTTGTATCATGTTCTATCTTATGGCATGGGCTTTTTTCATTTAGATCTGAAAGTGGGATTTGTTTTCGTAAAAGGTGTTTCCAGTTTGGCAAAGTGATCATTCCTTCATCAGTGCTATATTTTAAAATTAATGTAGCTTGTTAACATATTTTATTGTCTGGTGGAACTGAAACCTCTTTTCTGTTTCAATTAATTTTACTCTTTGTAATGGTTTGGATATGAGATGTTGTCCTCTGGTGCCACCCCCCACAACCCCCAAAAGGCTCATGAATAGATTATGAGAGCCATAATCTAATCAGACCATCCTAATTGGAATGGGATGAGTGGTAGTAATAGGTAGATGGGCATGACTAGAGGAAGTGGGTCATGAGGGTAAAAACCCTCTAAGAGTTCATCTATCTTTGGCCCCCTTCCCAGTCTTTCCATGTCTGCTTCCTCCATGAGATGAGGCATGATCCTTGCAACAACCCTTTTGTCATGTTGTTCTGCCTTACCTTGAGATCAAAGTGATGGAGTCAGGTAACCGTGTAGTGAACCTAACCTCTGAAACTGTGAACCCCAAATAAACTTTTCCTCCTCTAAGTTGGTCTTGTTGGGTATTTTGGTCTTAGTAATGTAAAATTGACTAATAGAGTTATTGGTACTGAAAAGTAGGGTTGTGGCTGTGACTGACCTGTTCACGTTGTTCAGAAGCCTTTGGAACTGATTGTGGGAGGAGTTTTGAAAGTTTGAAGATGCCAGCTGGAGAAGCCTTGGAATGTTGTGATTGGGGCTTAATGGGTGGATTCTGGTGAGAACTGAGAAGACCTGAATGCTGATAGGAATGTAGACTGTAAAGGCTGTGCTTATGAGGATTTAGAGGGAAACAGGGATTCTATTTTGGCAAAGAACTCGTCTACATTTTGCCCATGTCCTGAGACTTCACGTGACTCCATATGTAAAGATGATGGACCGATTAACCTGGTGGAAAAAATTTCAAGGAAGCACAGCATTCAGGTGGTGGCATGGGTATTGCCACTGGTTTTTAGCCATGTTTACTGTGAGAATCAGAAGAAAAATGCAGAACAGGACTTTAAAAACTTGCAGTATGGCTGGAAAAGTGGGTAAAACTGGAGACAAGGAAAGTATAGTTTTGAAGAGATTATAACCTCTAAAATGATGCTAAGTGATGCACAGAGGCAATAGGAAAGATAACCTTGAGGGCCTTCTCAGGAATTAGCAAGACCACACCCACCACAGGCTCAAAGGTGTAAAGGTACAAGTTCCTTTGAGAATAGACTGCAGGAGCACCCTTCTCACATGGGGAGGGCCTGCAAAGATGTTTCACTATACTCAGCTGCTGCAGCGGTGTTCTCCGAGGGCTCAGCTACTGGTAAAGCTGGCAGCAGACATTGGCATTGTCCTTGTGCTAGATCTGCCAGAATGCAGGATGCTTGAGTTGGGGGGGGGGTCAAAGAGACTTCAACCAAGACTTCAAAGGAAGGCCTGGAAGGCCAGGCGAAATAGAGGGTCAGAATTCCTGAGAGAGTAGTGGGCTGCCTCTGAGAGAGAGGTGTATAAAGCTGTGAAGATGAAGCCAAAGCTGGAATGGAGACCCAAGGAATTAAGAGATGCCTGTAATGTGCTCTCTGCCAAGAAAACCTGCTGTCTGCAGAGAGTGCCAGGCTAAGAGAAGCCATGAGCGCTGCAACAAGTAAAGCCAAAGGAGCCAGACTGCTCCAGCCCCATTGGAGGGAACATGTTACCACCCTGTGCCCCAGATGCCAGAGGTAGAGCTATAGTAAAAGTTTCCTTGGCTGGTTTTCAGTCTTTTTGGGGGTCCTATCCCTTCTTTCTATACCCCTATTCCTCCCTTTTAGAATGCAAATATTTACTCTGTGCCATTGTATATTGGACATGTGTAACTTACTTTTGATCGTTATAGGGGCTCATAGCCAAGAGTCTGCCTTGAATCTGAGAAAAGACTTTAGATTTGGCCTTTTGGACTGTTAACACCATGGAGACTCTTGGAGATGGATTTTGCATTGTAAGATAAACATAATCTTTTGGAGGCCAGGGGTAAGATATTATGATTTGGATATGAGATGTCCCCCAAAAGCTTCTGTGTTAATGCAGGAATAATCAGAGGTGAAATGATTAGATTATGAGAGCTATAACCTAATCACCCCAAAATAGTTAGGACTCTGTTAGCTGTAGGCAGGTGGGGTATGGCTGGAGGAGGTGGGTCACTGAGGGCATGCCCTGGAAGGGTTCATCTTCCCTTTGGCCCCTTCCATCCTCTTTCTCTGCTTCCTGGCCTCCATGAAGTGGCCCTCTTTCCTCTACCACCACCCCTCCACTATGATGTTCTGCCTCACCTTGGGCCCAAAGCCATGGAGTCAGCCAGTCTTGAACAGCACCCCTGAAACTGTCAATCCCTAATAAACTTTTCCCTCTCTGAGTTGGTCTTGTTAGATATTTTGGTTGCAGCTACATAAAGATGAGGAACACATTATTTTTTTGCACGTTTCTCTTTCAATTAAGTTTTTAGAGTCAGCTTGTCAAATTCTATAGGAATTTTGATTGGAATTACGTGGTATTTATAGGTTAGAGAAAAATTAATAGTTTTATTCACAGTAGGGGTCCCCCTTATCAGAGGTTTGGATGACCTTGGTTTTAGTGACCATTGGTCTGATGATGTTAAGCAGAGTATTCCAGAAATAATTTGTAAGTTTAAATTGATGTCATTCTGAGTAGAGTGATGAAATCTCACACCATCCTGCTCCTTTCTGCGTAGGATAATGAATTGTCCCTTTGTCCAATGTATCCACATTGTATACACTACCCACCCATTAGTCACCATAGTCATTTAGTAGTTATCTACAGTCTGGGTATTGCAGTGCTTGAGTTTAAGTAACCTTTTTTAAACTTAATAATGACTTCAGTGTGTAAGAATAGTGATACAATTAGTATATGTCACAGAGAAACTGTAATATTTGTCCTTAAAGGAATAGATGTTCTCTATTTAAAAAGGAAAGAGAAAAGAACGTATGCTTAGGTTGCTAAGATCTATAGTAAGAATAAATCTATTTGTGAAATTGGAAAGAAAGAAAAAGAAATTCATGCTAGTTTTGCTGTTGCACCTAAAACTGTAAAAGTTATGGCCATAGTGTGTGATAAGTGCTTAGTTAAAATACAAAAGGCATTATTATAGGGTTTAGTATTGTCTGTGGCTTCATGTATCCCACTGGGGGCTTGGATAAGAGGAGACTTCTATAGCTTGTAGCTAGAAAAAAAAATTGTTTTTTCATATATTTAATTCTTTTAGTCCTTTGGAAAAATTTCCTTTATTATTTTCATATAGTCTGGGTTTTTTTGTTGTTTGTTTGTTTTTGTTTGTTTGTTTTGTTGTTTTGTTTTTTGATATTCCTGGAGACTCAAGCAAGCCAGGACTTCATCCCCAGCCCAACAGAATTTTGTTAAGTTGCCCAGGTTGGCCTCAAACTTGAGATCCTCCTGCCTCAGCCTCCCAAGTCTGGGATTACAGGTGTATGCCACCTTGCCCAGCTGCAGTGATCATCTTCATTGCAAAAAAGTTTTCCCCGTATTTAAATTTTCTTTTCCTTTCAAGGTATAAAGCCTCGTGCTTTTTGTACTACTATATTCGTTTTTAAAATGTCATCATAGAGTCTCAGCTTCACCATAGCACTTTCCCCATCACTACTGGAAAGAGAAACAGATGTTTATGGTTTCCTGGCCTCAGTGAGTTTAAAATCAAATTTGAATGATGAGACGAGTAAAAATAAAACCTGGAAGAGGGATTGTTCCTGGATAATGCGTTCAGGACAGATTCTTCTCTTGAAGAAATTTGGAACCCTGAGTGAGAAAGACAGGTTTTGGCCTCTGGCTACACAGCATTTTAAATCTACCTTGATTCACTTTTGGCAATGACTGCTTTTGGGATGTGTCCATACTGACTTTTACTTTGATGAAGGGGTCAAATTCTGAGTGGCGCATTTACCCTGGGAACTGAACCAAGCAGTGATCCAGAATCTTCAGTGACAGAATTGAAAGATTTTTATAGAGCTCTTTGCACCTGCAGAACATGGTGCTGTGTGACCAGCAGTGGGTAAGAAAGAAACCTTGAAAATGACAATACAAGTGGGTATCATTCTTTGAGAGGTCTCTTTGAAGTTTATGTATGCAACACTGCCTTATTGTCTGAACAGGAATTTGATCTCAGGAGTCTTCGGGATATAACTCTTCATGTAGAAGCTTGTGTGACCACAAAATCGCTTTCCCTCCTTGCTTTAATTAGCAATAACTTGCAGGAACTGGCCACTGTTACTGCAGTAGGTTCATTAGTGTTCTGCATTTCAAAGTCGTCTCGGGTCTCTTCCATGACACTGAACTTTTGCTCTGAACATGGAGCTGGGGTGTGTCTTCCTGCTGGAAGTGAGTACAGCAGGTTTAGGGACAGA